GCTCCCTCTTCCTTCTGAAGGTCTGCTTGGATAAGAGATGTCAGGCCTCAGAATCCAGAAGAAAAAACTACCCCAAATGATGTAAAATTATGCTCCATGCTTCCGGCTAGGCGTTGGGATATCTGAGATCAAATCTCAGGATTATTCCTGATCCACTCAGGGTCTTTGAATAGGTCACTTCCTCTCTGGCCTCAGTTTCCCCATGTTCAGAAGGAGGGGTTGTTGGAGGACCTCTGGGGCTTTGGACATCTCTGTCCCTTTAGGATCCTTTGTCTCTAAGAACCACCCTAAAGACAGGTCCTGATGCCCTGTGTGCTGTCAGAGAAAGTCTGGGCCAAAACTGGGCCATGACAGGTGTCCTAAGGCTCCAGAGAGCCCTCAGGCAAGAGATACTCAGGTCAGTAGCCTATGTAACAGCTCAAGAACATGTTATGCAAGATCTGGGCACATGCTTACCCCTCTCCTCTTTCCCTCTTATCAACACACAGCAAGTTAAGAGGCAGAAGTAGAATTCAATCCCCAGTGGTCCCTGCTCTTTCTGCTGAACCACAGCACCTCCAGAGCTCACAGCCCCTGTGACTGGGTGATGGGCAGCGTGGATGGAGGAGGAAGAGAGAAGGAAGAGGTTTGGGAGGAAAATTAAGGATTTGATGATCATAAGGGGTGTTGAGGTGACCAGTTAAACATCCAGGTGTATCTGTTGAGTGGCAGTTGCACATTTGAGTCTGAGGTTCAAGGCTGAGTGGGGCTGCAGATGGATGTTTCCAGGCTGCACTTGGGAACAGTACACAGAGCACAGTGGTCCTCCTCAGCTCTGCCACCTCCCTCTGCAGAGCTAGAGCCCAGGTAGAGTCCGATCGCAGAGCCATTTCCACTTTCACCCCCAAAGCTCTGGCCGGAGGAACCAAGTGGCCCCACCATTAGACTCACACAGGCACTGGAGAGGGTGGGATAGAAGTCTGGGGATTAGTCAGGAAAACATGGGGTCTGGAACGAGATGGCCCTGAATAAAGTAAGGAGGATAGATGAACAAATAAATAAATTCCAGAAGCTTCCAGGTTAAATGACCATTGTTGGATATTGGCATGGAATGAGGGCAAAGGGAAGCTGGTCCCTGGTCTCAGATTGGGCTCCTGGGGTGAGCGCAGCAAGAGGTTTGCTGAGGTCAGGCACAAACAGAAAGATAAACTGAAAAATCTCAAATCGGGAAGGTGCAGTCCCTGGGCAGGGACACTGAAGAGAAAGGAGGACATGAGCAAGGCAGGGAGGGAAGGGGACCAGGAAGGGACGGGGCAGAGAAGACCCAGAGCAGCCACTACTAGCTGAGTGGTCCTGGGCAAGTCCCTCTGCTTCTCTGATCCTCAGTTTCCCCAGCCGAGCACGTGGGTGCTGCTTCCTTCCCCTGGGCTTGGGAGGGTGGCAGTTTTGGGGGAAATGTACGGGCAGAGCCTACTGTGTGACTGTGAGCCCTGTCCCCGGGGCAGGAAGCTGGGCAACAGCAGTAGGGCCTTCTCCAATGCTCAGGGGCCCTTAGGAAGCTGTCACCTGCTGTCTGTCAGTTCAGCATCTTCAAGGGCCTATGTGCCGGGGCTGGGGAGGGCAGAGTGTGAGGTGGTGGTGTTGGAGCCATGAACAGCCAGGGCAGACACATGATGGAGACAGGAGGGTCAGTGTGTGAGAGCAAAGAAGCTCAGACTCACCTGGACAATGTTGTGGGGGACGGGCCTGGGCCCCAGCCTCAGGGAAGGGGTTTATGTACAGGGTGTTGTGTTATTACCTGCCAGACACATATACAATACACCTGCATATGCGTGTTTGCATCTCTATATGTGTGTATGTGCACAGAAAACACAACATATCCATGCATAATATACAGACACACATGCATTACACATATATTTTGGACAAATCTTCCCTGCCAATGTACAAGGACATAATTCCAGGCTTCCAGTTACTCACAGGGCAACCTCTAGAAGCTACAGCAGACTGAGGACCTCACAGGGACGTGAGTCCCCCCAAACACACACATGCTTCCCAGGGGGTGAGCAGCAGTAAGCCAATCCCCAGGCGGAGTACAGCTCCCAGCTGGGCCTCTGCAGCTCCCTGAACTCTGTCTCACCTTCCTGGCTGTTTGCTTGCAGCTCTGTGAAGAACCAAAGCCTGGAGACCTGATTGAGATTTCCCAAATGGGTTCTTCGCACTGGGCCCTGTATATGGGCAATGGTTATGTGATCCACCTGGCTCCCCCAGGTAAGGGGGTTGAAAGTGTAACTCTCCAAAGATTTGTTACTATGATGAGAACAATTCAAAGCCAAATGTCACCCTGGGAACCAGTATTGGTTCTCCCTGAGCTGTGCTGGGGATCCTCCTACATCCATGTCCATTGATGCATCTTAGTGATCCTCAGGCACTCACACAGCCGGGAAAGAGGTCGGAGGACGCCAGTGAAGATGGGCCGCGTCAGTGTTTGGAGCTGGCCAGCTCTGGCCCTTTAGCTGAACATGCAGACAATTCCATGAAACCAGCAGCATCTCCAGGTGTTTTGGTCTCATAAAGGAGAAGAATCAATGATGGTGGATTGGTCAACTGGATGATGTCCATTCATATCATGGAGCAAATAGCAGCCCCTGACCAGCAGATACTCATTAGCTTAAAAAGTAGTCACAGCTCATTAAGTAAAAGAGTAAAATCGGAGAATCTTTCCATTACATTGGTGAAGGGATAGACACCACAGCTCAATAGTGTGATCCCCTGGCCCTTCCTCCCTGTCTTGTGTCTCCTCTCTCTCCTCCCTGGCCTCCCTGCAGGTGCTGATACTCGTGTGTCTGATTCCAGGGGAGAACTTGGAGGCTGGCACATCCACTGGCTTAGGAGTGGTGAAGAGGGAGCTCCTCCTGGACGTGGTAGGAAACTTCTTCTATCAGGTCAACAACCACTTGGACCACCTGTACAAACCTCGGCCCATAAAGGAGATGCTCAGTTCCGGGAAGGAGATGTTTGGTATGGAGATGGAGTACAGTGTTCTGAGCAGGAGCTCTGAGCACTTGGTCACCAATCTGAGATATGGCAAGGCCTACAACCGGAAGGTAAGGCCCTTCTGGGGGACTCCCTCTCCCTTCTAGAGGTCTGCTTAGGGTGGTGTGACAGAGATTACTACCTAGAAGATAAAGTTACCACAAATATATGATCTCTGCTTCCAGGTTGGTGGATGTTAGGATATCTGAGAACAAATCTCGGGTCAGTTTCTGATACACTCAGGGTCTTTGAACAGGTCACTTCCTCTTTGGCCTCAGTTTCCCCATGTGAAGAAAGAGGGATGTTGGAGGACCTCTGGGCTCTGGTCAGCTCTTTCCCTTTAGGATCCATTGCCTCTAAGACCCACCCTAAGGCAGCTCCTGACGCCCTGTGTGCTGTCAGGGAAAGTCTGGGCCAACCCTGCATTATGACAGGTGTCCTTAAGGCCCTAGAGAGCCCTCGGGCAAAAGATACTCAAGGTCAGTGGCCTATGTGAGAGCTCATGAACATGTTATGTAAGGTCTGGGCTCAGCTTTAACCCATCCACTTTCTGCTCTTCTGAGTTCATTGTCACAAACACACAGCTAGAAAGAGGCAGAAGCAGGACTCTACCATTCCCACTTTCAGACCCAGAGCTCTGGCCCCAAGCCCAGGCAGGAAGTCCTCTCTCTTATCTATCTTCATTAGGACCAAAGGGCCCCACCATGGAGGACCATAGGCCCTGGAGTGGGTGGGACAGAAGTCTGGGGGTTGGTCACGAAAATGTGGGATCACATAATTGGGAACAGGATGGCCCTGAATAAAGTCATGGGGGAAAGATGAACAAAGAAGTGAATTCCGGAGAAGCTCCCAGGCTAAATGACCATTGTTGGATAATCGCATTTAATGAGGCAAAGGAAAGCTGGCCCCTGGTATCAGATTGGGCTCCTGGGGTGAGCACTGCAGGAGGTTTGCTGAGGTCAGGCACAAACAGAAAGATAAACTGAAAAATCTCAAATCAGGAAGCTTTTCTGTCCTGAGCAGGGACACTGAGGAGCAGGGAGGAGGTAGCAAGGGAAGGAGTAAAGGGGACCAGGAAGGGACCGAGCAGAGAAGACCCAGAGCAGCTCCTGCCAGCTGAGTGGTCCTGGGCAAGTCCCTCTGCCTCTCTGATCCTCAGTTTCCCCAGCTGAGCACGTGGGTGCTGCTTCCTCCCCCTGGGCTTGGGAGGGAGGCAGCTATGGGGGAATTGTGCCGGCAGAGCCTGCTGTGTGACTGTGAGCCCTGTCCTCAGGGCAGGAAGCTGGGCAACAGCAGTAGGGCCTTCTCCAATGCTCAGGGGCCCTTAGGAAGCTGTCACCTGCTGTCTGTCAGTTCAGCATCTTCAAGGGCCCGTGTGCCAGGTCTCAGGAGGGCAGAGTGTGAGGTGGTGGGTGTTGGGGCCATGCACAGCCAGGGCAACACATGATGGAGACGTTAGGGTTAGTGTGTGAGAGCAGAGCACCTGGATGATGTTGTCGGGGATGGGCCTGACCCCAGTCTCAGGGAAAGATTTTACATACAGGCTGTGGTGTTACCACCTCCAGACACACACGCACAATACACCTACATATGTGTGTATGTATCCCTTTGTGTGTGCATGTACATGCAATACACAGCATATCCATGCACAATACACACACAGAAACACTTGCATTACATACACATTTTGGAAAAATCTTTACTCTCCCGATGTAGATGGACATTTTCCTAAGCTTCCAGTTACTCTCAAGGGAACCTCTAGGAGCTATAGCAGGCTGAGGATCTCACAGAGGACAAGAGTTCTCATCCCCCCCAACACACACACACACACACACACACACACACACACACACACACACACACTTCCATTGGGCTGAACATCAGTAAGCAAATCCCCAGGCAAAGCTTTAGCTCCCAGCCAGGGCCTCTGCAGCTCCCTGAACTCTGTCTCACCTTCCTGGCTGTTCTCTTGCAGTTTCGTGAAGAGCCCAAGCCTGGGGACCTGATTGAGATTTCCCGCCTCGGCTACTCCCACTGGGCGCTCTATGTGGGCGATGGTTATGTGATCCACCTGGCTCCCCCAGGTAAGGGGGTGGAAAGTGTAACTTTCCAAAGATCTGTTAACATGGCTAGAACAATTCAAAGCCAAATGCCACAGTGGGAACCTGTCTTCGTTCTCCAAGGTGTGTGCTTGGGTTCATCTACATCTGTGTCCCTTGGAGGCATCACAGTGGTCCTTTAGGTCCTGACTCACCAGGGAAAGATGTTCGTGCGCCCCTTGACAGTCAGCTGGGGCACCATCTGACAGTCTCCAGCTCCATGACCGTTAGCTGGGTGAGCACCCAGTATAAAACAGCAGCGTCTCTCAGTGCCCACAGTCTCATAAAGGGAAAGGGTCAATGACAGTGGATTGGTCACCTAGATGATGTCCATTCATATCATGGAGCACTGTAGCCACCACTCAGCATCTCAGTACTCATTAGCTTGAGAAAATAGTCACAGCTCATTAAGTAAAAGAGGAAAATCCGTGAATCCTCCAATCCCATTGGTGAAGGGACAGACACCAGAGCTCAATAGTGTGATCCCCTGGCCCTTCCTCCCTGCCTTGCGTCTTCTCTCCCTCCTTGGCCTCCCTGCAGGTGCTGATACTCGTGTGTCTGATTCCAGGGGAGAAGTCTGAGGCTGGCGCCCCCATCGGCTTAGGGGTGGTGAAAAGGCAGTACCTTGCAGTAGTGCTGGAAAACTGCTCCTATAAGGTGAACAACCAGTTGGACCAACTATACAAACCACGGCCCATACATGAGATGATCATATCTGGGAAGGAGATGGTTGGTAAGGAGATGAAGTACAGTGTTCTGAGCGAGAACAATGAGCACTTGGTCACGGATCTGAGATACGGCAAGGCCGGCAGCCGGCAGGTAAGGCCCTTGTGGGCTCCCTCTACCTTTTGGGTGTCTCTTTGGGGAGGCGGTGTTAGGCCTCTGCATCCAAAAGAAAAAACTAACCCAAATGATGTAAAATTAGCTCTCCACTTCCTGCCGGCTGGGAGTTAGGATGTCTGAGATCCAATCTTGGGTCAGTTCCTGATCCACTCAGGCTCTTTGAACAGGTCACTTCCTCTCTGGCCTCAGTTTACCCATGTGCAGACGGCGGGGATGTTCGGAGGACCTCTGGGGTTCTGGTCACCTCTATTGCTTTACAATCCTTTGCCTCTAAAACGCACATTAAAGAAACCTCCTGATGTCCTGAGTGCTGTCAGGGAAAGTCTGGGCCAAACCTGGGCCATGACAGGTGTCCAAAGGCCCCAGAGAGCCCCCAGGCAAGAGATGCTCAGGTCTGTGGCCTATGTAGGAGCTCAAGAACATGTTATGAAAGATTTGGGCACAGCCTTACCCCTCTCCTCTTTCCCCTCTTACCAACACACAGCGAGTTAAGAGGCACAAGTAGGATTCAATCCCCAGTGGTCCCTGCTCTTTCTGCTGAACCACAGCACCTCCAGGGCTCACAGCCCCTGTGACTGGGTGATGGGCAGCCTGGATGGAGGAGAATGAGGAGAGGAGGAGCAGGTTTGGAGAGAAATTAAAGATTTGATGCTCATGAGAGGTTGAGCAGCAGTTGGATGTATGAATTTAGAGTTTCAGTCTGAAGTGGGGGTGGAGATAGAAGTTTCCAGTTCACTTGGGAACAGTACACAGAACACAGTTGTCCCTGAGGCTATGGTTTCCCACCCTCCCCCTCAGCTCTGCCACCACCTCCTTCTGCAGAGCTGGAGCCCAGGTAGAGCCCACACCACAAAGCCATTCCCACTTTCACCCCCAGAGTTCTGGCCCCAGGAGCCCAGGCAGGAAGCTCCCTCCCCTATCCAGTCCTATTACCAGAAATGGTCCCACCATGGAGGCTCACACAGGCCCTAGAGTGGGTGGGACAGAGTCTGGGGAAAACGTAAGATCACATAATAGGGAACACAAAAGCATGGGGAAAAGCAGAAACCGGTTTGGCTCAGTGGATAGAGTGTCAGCCTGCAGACTGAAAGGTCCCAGGTTTGATTCTGGTCAAGGGCATGTACCTTGGTTGCGGGCACATCTCCAGTAGGGGGTGTGCAAGAGGCAGCTGATCGATGTTTCTCTCTCATCGATGTTTCTAACTCTCTATTCCTCTCCCTCTCTGTAAAAAAATCAATAAAATATATATTTTAAAAAAAAAAGCACGGGGAAAAGATGAACAAAGAGGTGGATTCCAGAGAAGCTTCCAGGCTAAGTGACCATTGTAGGGTATGGGCATGGAATGAGGGCAAAGGGAAGCTGGCCCCTGGTCTCAGATTGTCTCCTGGGGAGAACTCTGCAGGAGGTTTGCTGAGGTCAGGCACAAATAGGAAGAAAGGGTAAAAATTCTCTGTTCAGGAAGCTGTGGTGCTCTGGGCAGGGACACTGAGGAGCAGAGAGAAGTTAATTAGGCAGAAACGGAGGGAGGAAAGGGAACCAGGAAGGGATGGGGCAGAGCAGACCCAGAGCAGCCACTACCTGAGTGTCCCTTGGCACATCCCTCTACTTCTCTGATCCTTAGTTTCCCCAGCTGAGCACATGGGTGCTGCTTCCTTCCCCTGGGCCTGGGAGGGTGGCAGCTATGGGGGAAATGTGCGGGCAGAGCCTGCTGTGTGACTATGAGCCCTGTACCCAGGGCAGGAAGCTGGGCAACAGCAGTAGGGCCTTCTCCAATGCTCAGAGGCCCTTAGGAAGCTGTCACCTGCTGTCTGTCAGTTCAGCATCTTCAAAGGTCTGTGTGCCAGGCCTGGGAGGGGAGAGTGTGAGGTGGTGGTATTGGGGCCATGCACAGCCAGGGCAAACACATGATGGAGACATGAGGGTCAGTGTGTGAGAGCAGAGCAGCTCAGACTCACCTGGACAATGTTGTGGGGGACCGACCTGGGCCCCATTCTCAGGGAAGGGGACTTACATACAGGCTGTTGTGTTATCACCACCCAGACATGTACACAATACACCTGTGTATGTATGTCTGCATTCTTGTGTGTGTGCATGTACATGCAATAGATGACATATCCATGCACAATACACACATGTATTACACTTCTGGATAAATCTTCACTGTCCCAATGCACAAGGTCAATTTTTCAGGCCTCTATTTACTCACAGGGCAACCTCTACAACAGGCTGAGGACCTCACAGGGGATATGAGATCCTCCCCTTTTTCCCCCTCCACTTACACACACTCTTCCCTTGGGGTGAACATCAGTAAGCAAATCCCTAAGCAGAGCTGTAGCTCCAGGCTGCACCTCTGCAGCTCCCTGAACTCTGCCTCACCTTCCTGGCTGTTCTCTTGCAGTTTCGTGAAGAGCCTGAGCCTGGAGACCTGATTGAGATTTCCCGCATCGGCTCCTCCCACTGGGTCCTCTATGTGGGCGATGGTTATATGATACACCTGGCTCCCCCAGGTAAGGGGGTTGAAAGTGTAACTTCCAAAAAATTGTTACCATGATGAGAACAATTCAAAGCCAAATGCCACCGTGGGAACCTGTGTTGGTTCTCCCTGGGCAGGGCGTGTGCTCACTGTAAATTCATGTTCGTTGGAGGAAATTCAGTGGTCCCTCGGGTCCTGATTCACAGGCACAGAGGTCCGTGGGCCCCAGGGAAGCCCGGTTGTACCCACATTGGATGCTGTCCAACTCGGGCCGGTAGCTGGGAGAGCAGACAGATCTCTTTAAACCAGCAGGGTGTCTGGGTGTCCCGGTCTCATGGAGAGACTGCCTCTCAGGCTGTGTCCTGTGCTCAGAGCATGTCACAGTACAGAGCATCCTAAGAGGGTTTCCTGAACACCCCCCACGCAGCAGCTCTCCCAGATCATATGTCACAGAGAGTCTCAAAGACACGCACACGAGCATCTGGACACTGATTTAACCCAGGGAGAACAGAAGCAGGATGACAGGCAGTCAGAGGAGTGGGCAGGGCACACATGTGTGTACCGTCCATGACAGGAAGGTGCTGGGATGAGAATGCGGACTGGGAGGCACAGGGGATTGTGCCCTGCAGAGCAATGGCAGCACCCACACCTCGGACAGCAAGCGTTTGCGTTCTCACTGGATAGAAACCGTCTCATGATCACAAGAATCTCCTTGTAATTGACCAGGTTCCTATGTGCTGTCACCTACACTGACAGAGTTGAAAACTGTCAGCATTGATGGCAAATAGTAAGCGAAACCCACTAATCCAGACGACACTCAGGAGGCTTGGAACAGGGTGGTGAGTGTGAGGAGCGGGTCCTGCTTGTGTGGGAGCGAGCAGGTCATGCTTCCTCAAGGGCGGTGCTAAGTTCAGCGTCAGCCTGGGGACTCACATAGAAAGGAGCCTGCTGGTTAGCATGCTTCTCAGTTCCCTCCTGTTAGAGAGCAAATCCAGGCTCTAGGCTCAATGGACTGGAGGCCACCAGCTGGAAGCACTGTGTGGCCTCTCCATGTGGCCAGAGCTGGGCCAGAGAAGGCCGATGATGCCTCAGGGACCACTATAGGTTCTGAAATGGAGATGAGAGTTTTACCATGAAGTTCAAAAGGAGAATAATGAGGGAATGTATGAAATTTGCACAGCAGAGTCTGAAACCCAGTGGGACCAGAACAACTGTGAGCTCTCTCTGAAACACACAAGTGCAAAGATGAACAAATACAATTTACTATCATTGTTTACAATGGATAAGCTCTGGACCAGCCAATAGTAGGGACTTGGTCAACTAGATGGTGTCCATTCATATAATGGAACACAGTGGCAGCCACTGACCATCACAACATTGATTGACATGAAAAGTATTCACAGCTCCTTAAGGGAAAGAGCAAAATGATGGAATTCTCCAATCACATTGGTGAAGGGACAGACACCAGAGCTCAATAGTGTGATCCTCTGGCCCTTCCTCCCTGCCTTGGGTCCTCTCTCCCTCTCTTGCTTCCCTTTAGGTGCTGATAGTAGTGTGTTGATTCCAGGGGAGAAGTCTGAGGCTGGCACCCCCACCGGTTTAGGGGTGGTGAAAAGGCAGCTCCTCAAGGAAGTGTTGGAAAACTGCTCCTATGAAGTCAACAACCACTTGGACCACCTGTACAAACCTCGGTCCATAATGGAGATGCTCACTGTTGCGGAAGAGATGGTTGGTCAGGAGATGGAGTACAGTGTTCTGAGCAGAAACAATGAGCACTTTGTCACCGATCTGAGATATGGCAAGGCCATTGGCCGGCAGGTAAGGCCCTCCCTGCGGGCTCCCTTGCGATGGGGATGAGGGACCTAACTACCCAGAAGAAAAATTACCCTGAATGATGCAAACATGGGCTCTTGGGGTTCCACTGGCTGGGAGTCACATCTGAGACTAAAACTTAGGTCTTCTGCTAATCCCCTCAGAGTCTTCTAACAGGGCACTTCCTCCCCATACCTCAGTTTCACCATGAGAACAACTGGGTGCTGCCCCCGGCCCTCTCCATCTAAATTAATATAAGATGTTGGCTCAGCTTTAACCCCTTCCTCTTTGCCATTTCTCAACACAAGCTAGTAAGGATTGAAACCCCAGTGGTCCCTGGTCTTTCTGCTTAATCACAGCACCTCCAGGGCAGGAGGATCAATGATGGGGTTATCTATCCATAGAGAGAGGGGAATGACAGGAAGTAGAGGAGGTTGCAGATAGAAACTAAGGATTTCTTGCTCAGGTGGGGTCTTTGAGGTGAGCAGTTACCCATCCAGACGGACCTGTTGAGTAGAAGTTGGTCGTGTGAGTGTAGAGTTTCAGTCTGAGGTGGGTGGAGATAGATGTTTCCAGGCTGCACTTGGGAACAGTACACAGAGCATTGTGATCCCTGAGGCCATGGTTTCCCATCATCCCCCTCAGCTCTGCCACCACCTCCCTCTGCAGAGCTGGAGCCCAGGTAGAGCCCTGACCACAGAGCCATTCCCACTTTCACCCCCAGAGTTCTGCCTCAGGAGCCCAGGCAGGAAGCCCCCTCCCTTACTACCCCCATCAGGACTGAGTGGCCCACCATGGAGGCTCACGCAGGCCCTGGAGGGTGGAACAGAAGTCTGGGGATTGGTCAGGAAAATGTGGGGTCACATAATCTGGAATATGATGACCCTGAATAAAGTCAAGACCAAAAGATGAACTAAGAAATGAATTCCAGAGAAGCTTCCAGGCTATGTGACCATTGTAGGATATGGACATGGAATGAGGGCAAAGGGAAGCTGGCCCTGGTCTCAGATTAGCTCCTGGGGTGAGCGCTGCAGGAGGTTTGCTGAGGTCATAGATAAACAGAAGATAAACTGAAAAATCTCAAATCAGGAAGTGTGGTGCCCTGAGCAGGGACACTGAAGAGCAGGGGACGGGGGGTAGGGGAGTAGGAGTGTGGGGAAGAAGGAAATGGAAAGGGGACCTGAAAGGAACGGGACAGAGAAGACCCAGAGCAGCCCCTGCCAGTTAAGTGGTCCTGGGCAAGTCCCTCTGTCTCTCTGTTCCCAGTTTTCCCAGCTGAGCACGTGGGTGCTGCTTCCTTCCCCTGGGCCTGGGAGGGTGGCAGTTTTCTGGGAAATGTGCCAACAGAGCCTGCTGTGTGACTGTGAGCCCTGTCCCCAGGGCAGGAAGCTGGGCAACAGCAGTAGGGCCTTCTCCAATGCTCAGGGGCCCTTGGGATGCTGTCACCTGCTGTCTGTCAGTTCAGCATCTTCAAGGGCCCGTGTGCCAGGGCTGGGGAGGGCAGAGTGAGAGGGGGTGGTGTTGGGGCCATGCACAGCCAGGGCAAACATGATGGAGACAGGAGGGTCATTGTGTGAGAGCAAAGAAGCTCAGACTCACCTGGACAATGTTGTGGGAGATGGGACTGGGCCCCATTCTCAGGGAAGGGGTTTTACATACATGGTTTTGAATTACCACCCTCCAGACACACACACAATACACCTGTATATGCGTGTCTGCATCCTAGTGTGTGCATGTACATGCAACATACAACATATCCATGCACAATAAACACAGATACACACTCATGCCTTTCATACACATTCTGGACAATCTTCACTCTCCCAATGCACAAGGTCATTTTCCAGGCTTCCATTTACTCGCAGGGAAACCTCTAGAAGCTATAGCACACTAGGAGCTCAAATGGGAAATGAGTCTCTCCCCCCATCATCCCCCCACATGCTCTACATGGGGTGAGCATCAGTAAGCAAATCCCTAGGCAGAGCTGCAGCTCCTAGGCCAGGCCTCTGCCACTGCCCTGAAATCTCTCACCTTCCCTGGCTGTTCTCTTGCAGCTTCGTGAAGAGCCCAAGCCTGGAGACCTAATTGAGATTTTTCGATTTTTCAACTCACACTGGGCCCTCTATGTGGGCGATGGTTATGTGATCCACCTGGCTCCCCCAGGTAAGGGGGTTGAAAGTATAACTTTCCAGAGATTTGTTACCATGATGAGAACAATTCAAAGCCAGATGCCACTCTGGGAACCTGTGTTGATTTCTCCCTGAGCTGTGCTTGACCTCACCTTTGTCCATGATCCTTGGAGGCACCTCAGTGGTCCCTCGGGTCCACTCACAGCAGGGTCAGAGGTCCGTGAGCCTCAGCAAAGCTGGGCTTCATCAGCATTTGGAGCTCTCCAGCTCCATGCCCTTCAGCTGGACGTGCATAGAGATTAATCCAGCAACGTATCTTGGTGTCCAAGTCTCATAAAGGAGAATGATCAATAACGGTAAATAATGTCCATTCATACAATGGAGAACAATAGCAGCTTCTGGCCTTCAAAATATTCATTATCTTGAAAAATTATCCCTAGCTTGAAAAATCATTAAGTAAAAGGAGTAAAATCAGATTGGTGAAGGGACAGAACCAAGCTCAATAGTGTGATCCCCTGGCCCTTCCTCCCTGTCTTGTGTCTCCTCTCTTTCTCCTTGGCCTCCCTGCAGATACTCGTGTGTCTGATTCCAGGGGAGAACTCTGAGTCTGGCGCCCACACCGGTTTAGGGATGGTGAAAAGGGAGCTCCTCGTGGACGTGGTGGGACAATGCTTCTATAAAGTCAACAACCACTTGGACCACCTGTACAAACCTCGGCCCATAAAGGACATGCTCAGTTCTGGGATTGAGATGGTTGGTATGGAGATGGAGTACAGTGTTCTGAGCAGGAACTATGAGCACTTGGTCACTGAACTGAAATATGGCAAGGCCCACAGCCGGCAGGTAAGGCCCTCTGTTGGAGGCTCCCTCTATCTTCTGATGGTTTCCTTGTGATCATGTGACAGGGCTGACTGCTGAAAGAAAATTTTGCTCCAAATGATGTAAAATTATGCTCTCTGCTTCCTGCTGGCTGGCAGTTAGACTGAGATCAAATCTCAAATCTGATAGTGATCAACTAAGATTCCTTAAACAGGTCACGTACTCTCTGGCCTCAGTTTCCCCATGTGCAGAAGGAGGGGATGTTTGGAGGACCTCTGGGGCTCTGGCCCCCTCTATCCCTTTTGGATCTTTTACCTCTAAGACCCTCCCTAAAGGCAGCTACTGATGCCCTGTGTGCTGTCAGGGAAAGTCTAGGCCAGCCCTGTACCATGACAGGTGTCCTAAGGCCCCAGAGAGCCCTCAGGCAAGAGATGTTCACTTCTGTGGCCTATGTAGGAGCTCAAGAAGGTCTGGGCACATGCTTACCCCTCTCCTCTTTCCCCTCTTACCAACACACAGCGAGTGAAGAGGCAGAAACAGGATTCAATCTCCAGCAGTCCCTACTCTTTCTGCTGAACCACAGCACTTCCAGGGCTCACAGCCCCTGTGACTGGTGATGGGAAAAGGAGGAGGAGGTTTGGTAGGGAAATTAAGGAGTTGATGCTCATGTGCGGTGTTGAGGTGTATATTTAGACATTCAGGAAGAGCTGTTGAGTAGCAGTTAGACATGTGAGTCTGGAGTTCAGGCTGAGGTTGGGGTAGAGATAGAACGTTCTAGGCTGCACTTGGGAACAGTACACAGAGCCCTGTGATCCCTGAGACCCTGGTTTCCCATCGTTCCCCTCAGCTCTGCCACCACCTCCCTCTACAGAGCTGGAGCCCAGGTAGAGCCCCGACCACAGAGCCATTCCCACTTTCACCCCCAGAGCTCTGGCCCCAGGAGTCCAGATAGGAAGCCCCCTCCCCAACTCACCCCCATCAGGACCAAATGGCTCACCCTGGAGGTTCCCACAGGCCCTGGAGTGGGTGGGACAGAAGTCTGAAGGTTGGTCAGGAAAACGTGGGTCACATAAGTGACTTCTGAATGAAGTCATGGGGCAAAGATGGTCAAAGAAGTGAATTCCTGAGAAGCTTCCAAGCTAAGTGACCATTGTAGGATATGAGCATGGAATGAGGGCAAATGGAAGCTGGCCCCTGGTCACACATTGGGCTCCTCGGGTGAGTGCTGCTGGAGGTTTGCTGAGATCACACACAAACAGGAAGGGAAACTGAAAATTCTCAAATCAAGAAGCCTCAGTGCTCTGGGCAGGGACACTGAGGAGCAGGGAGAAGGTGAGCAATGATGGAGGGAGAAAAGGGGACCAGGAAGGGACTGGGAAAAGAAGACCCAGTGCAGCCACTACCCACTGAGCGTCTGTGGGCACATCCCTCTGCCTCTCTGATCCTCAGTTTCCGCAGCTGAGCACGTGGGTGCTGCTTCCTTCCCCTGGGCCTGGGAGGGTGGCAGCTATGGGGGAAATGTGAGGGCAGAGCCTTCTGTGTGACTGTGAGCCCTGTCCCCAGGGCAGGAAGCTGGGCAACAGCGGTAGGACCTTCTCCAATGCTCAGGGGCTCTTAGGAAGCTGTCACCTGCTGTCTGTCAGTTCAGCACCGTGTGCCAGGTCTCAGGAGGGCAGAGTGTGAGGTGGTGGGTGTTGGGGCCATGCACAGCCAGGGCAAACACATAATGGAGACATGAGGGACAGTGTATGAGAGCAGAGAAACTCAGACTCACCTGGACAATGTTGTGGGGGATGGGCCTGGGCCCCAAGCTCAGGGAAGGGGGTTTACATACAGGCTGTTGTGTTACCACCTCCAGACACATACACAATACACCTATGTGTGTCTTCCTCCTCTTTGTGTGCATGTATACACAACAAACATGCCCATGCACAATGTCACATCCACACATGCTTTACTAAAACATTATGAACAAATCTTTGCTCTCCCAATGCACAAGGTCATTTTTCCAGGACTCCAGGTATTCCCAGGCCACCCTCTAGAAGCCACAGCAAGCTGAGGACCTCACAGGGGACTTAAGTCCCTCCGACACCCACACACACATTCTTCCCATGGGGTGAGCATCAATAAGCCAATCCCCAGCTGGGCCTCTGCAGCTCCCTGAGTCTGTCTCACCTTCCTGGCTGTTCTCTTGCAGTTTCGTGAAGAGCCCAAGCCTGGGGACCTGATTGAGATTTCCCGCATCGGCTCCTCCCACTGGGCGCTCTATGAGGGCGATGGTTATGTGATCCACCTGGCTCCCCCAGGTAAGGGGGTGGAAAGTGTAACTTTCCAGATTTGTTACCATGATGAGAACAATTCAAAGCCACATGCCACCCTGGGAACCCGTGTCAGTCCTCCCTGAGCTGTACTTGTCACATGGTACATCCATGTCACTTGGAGGCATCTCAGTGGTCTCTCGGGTCCTGACTCAGCAGGGAAAGTGGTCGCTGGCCTCAGTGAAGCCGGACTGGGGCCGCATTGGACACTCTTCAGCTCCATGACCATTAGCTGGGCGAGCTGACAGATTTCTCTAAACCAGCAGCGTCTCTGGGTACCCACAGTCTCATAAAGGACAAGGGTCAATGATGGTGGATTGGTCAACTGGATGATATCCATTCATATCATGGAGCACAGTAGCAGCCACTGACCATCTCAGTATTCATTAGCTTGAGAAAGTAGTCAGCTCATTAAGTAAAAGAGTAAAATCCGTGAATCCTCTCATCACATTGGTGAAGGGACAGACACCAGAGCTCAATAGTGTGATCCCCTGGCCCTTCCTCCCTGTCTTGTGTCTTCTCTCCCCATCCCTGGCCTCCCTGCAGTTGCTGATACTCCTGTGTCTGATTCCAGAGGAGAAGTCTGAGCCTGGTGCCCCCACAGGCTTAGGGGTGGTGAAAAGGGAGCTCCTCGTGGACGTGGTGGAAAACTGCTCCTATAAGGTCAACAACAACTTCGACAGCCTGTATAAACCACGGCCCATAGAGGAGATGCTCAGATCTGGGAAGGAGATGGTTGGTAAGGAGTTGGAGGACAGTGATCTGAGGAGGAACAGTGAGCACTTCGTCACTGATCTGAGATATGGCAAAGCCTATAGCAGACAGGTAAGGCCTTCTGTGGGGGCTCCCTCTATCCTGTGGAGGTCTGCTGGGGGGAGAGGTGAGAGGCCTCTGCATCCACATGAAAAAATTACCCTGAATGATCAAAAATTATGCTCGCTGCCTCCTGCTGACTGGGAATTAGGATGTCTCAGAAGAAATCTGGGGTCTGTTCCTGGTCCACTCCGGGCCTCAGTTTCCCCATGTGCAGAAGGAGGAGATATTGGAGGACCTCTGGGGCTCTGGGCTCCTCTATCCCTTTAGGGTTCTTTGCCTCTAAGACCCACCCAAAGGGCAGCTCCTGATGCCCTGTGTGCTATCAGGGAAAGACTGGGCCAACCCTGCACCATGACAGGTCTGCTGAGGCCCCAGAGAGCCCTCAGGCAAGAGATGCTCAGGTCTGTGGCCTATGTGAGAGCTCAAGAACATGTTATATAAAGTCTGGGCACAAGCTTACCCCTCTCCTCTTTCCCTCTTATCAACACAGCTCCTTAACAGACACAAATATTATTCAATCCCGAATGCTCCCTGCTGTTTCTGCTGAACCACAGCATCTTCCGGGCTCACAGCCCCTGTGATTGGGTGATGGGCAGCCTGGGTGGAGGAGAATGAGGGGAGGAGGAGATTTGGGAGGGAAATTAAGGATTTGATGCTCATAAGGGGTGTTGAGGTGACCATTAGACATCCAGGTGGACCTGTTGGGTAGCAGTTGGAAATTGGAGTCAAGTTCAGGGCATAGATCGGGGTGGAGATGGAAGTTTCCAGGCTGCACTTGGGAACAGTACACAGAGCACAGTGGTCCCTGTGGTATGGTTTCCCATCGTCCCCCTCAGCTCTGCCACCACTTCCCTCTGCAGAGCTGGAGCCCAGGTAGAGCCCAGACCACAGAGCCATCCCCACTTTCACCCCCAGAGCTCTGGCCCCAGCAGCCCAGGTAGGAAGCCCCCTCCTCTACTCACCCCCATCAGGACCGAGTAGCCCCACATGGAGGCTCACACAGGCCCTGGAGTGGTTGGGATAAAAGACTGGGTGTTGTTCTGGAAAATGCGTGGTCACATAATTGGGAACTGATGACCCTGAATAAAGTCATGAGGAAGAGATGAACCAAGCAGTGGATTCCAGAGAAGCTTCCAGGCTAAGTGACCATTTATGGTATGGGCATGGAATGAGGGCAAACGGAAGCTGGCCCTGGTCTCAGATTGGGCTCCTGGGGAGAGCGCTGTAGGAGGTTTTCTGAGGTCACACACAAACAGGAAGAGAAACTGAAAATTTTCAAATCAGGAAGCTATTCAGTCCTGAGCAGGAACACAGGAGCAGAGAGGAGGTGAGCAAGGGAAGGAGTAAAGGGGACCTGGAATGGACGGGGCAGAGAAGACCCAGAGCAGCCACTGCCAGCTGAGTGGTCCTGGGCAAGTCCCTCTACCTCTCAGTTTGCCCAGCCGAGCACATGGGTGCTGCTTCCTTTCCCTGGGCCTCGGAGGGTGGCAGCTATAGGGGAAATGTGAGGGCAGAGCCTACTGTGTGACTGTGAGCTCTGTCCCCAGGGCAGGAAGCTGGGCAACAGCAGTAGGGCCTTCTCCAATGCTCAGGGACCCTTAGGAAGCTGTCACCTGCTGTCTGTCAGTTCAGCAGTTCAGCATCTTCAAGGGTCTGTGTGCCAGGGCTGGGGAGGGCAGAGTGTGAGGGGGTGCCTGTTAGGCCCATGCACAGCCAGGGAAAACACATGATGGAGACATGATGGTCAGTGTGTGAGAACAGAGAAGCTCAGAATCACCTGGACAATGATGTGGGACATGGTCTGAGCCCCAGCCTCAGGGGAGGGAGTGTACATACAGGCTGTTGTGATACCACCTCCAAATATACACATAATACACCTGCATATGCATGCCTGCATCCCTGTGTGTTTTTGGAACACACAACAATTCTAAGCATAATAAACTGATAGACTCACATGCATCAGACACATTCTGGAGAAATCTTCACTTTCCCAGTGCCCAAAGTCATTTTTCCAGGCTTCCAGTTACTCACAAGGAAACCTCTATAAGCTACAGCAGGCTGAGGATTTCACAGGGGACATGAGTTTCTCTCCCCCCACCCCCAACTCACACACACACATGCTTCCATGGGGTGAGCATCAGTAAGCAAATCCCCAGGCAGAGCTGTAGCTCCCAGCTGAGCCTCTGCCACTCCCTGAACTCTGCCTCACCTTCCTGGCTGTTCTCTTGCAGTTTCGTGAAGAGCCCGAGCCTGGAGACCTGATTGAGATTTTGCACATCGGCCCCTCGCACTGGGCCCTCTATGTGGGCGATGGTTATGTGATCCACCTGGTTCCACCAGGTAAGGGGGTTGAAAGTGTAACTTTCCAGAGATTTGTTACCATGATGAGAACAATTCAAAGCCAAATGCCACCTGGGAACCAGTGTTGGTTCTCCCTGGGCAGTGCTTGTGCTCACTGTACATCCATGTTCCTTGGAGGCATCTCAGTGGTCTTGCAGGTCCTGACTCAGCAGGGACAGAGGTCTGTGGGCCCAGAGAAGCCAGGCTGCACCCGCATTGGGCACTCTCCAGCTTAGGCCATTAGCTAGGCGAGGAGACAGATCTCTCTAAACCAGCAGTGTGTTCAGGTCTCATGGAGGGACTGCCTCTCAGGTTGTGTCCTGTGCTCAGAGGACGTCACAGAACAGGGCGTCCTGAGAGTGTTTCCTGAACACCCTCCACGCAGCAGCTCTCCCAGGTCACACGTCACAGAGTCTCACACACACACACACACACACACACACACACACACACACACACACACGAGCACCTGGACCCTGATGTAGCGCAGGGAGAGCAGAAGCAGGATGACAGGCAGTCAGAGGAGAAGGCAGGGCCCATATGAGTGTACTGTCTGTCCATGACAGGAAGGTGTTGGGATGAGACTGCGGACTGGGAGGCACAGGGGCTGGTGCCCTGCAGAGCAATGGCACCCACACTTCGGACAGCAAGCGTTTGCATTCTCGCTGTACAGAAACCGTCTCATGATCACAAGAATCTCCTTGTAACTGACCAGGTTCCTATGTGCTGTCACCTACACTGACAGAGTTGAAAACTGTCAGCATTGATGGCAAATAGTAAGCGAAACCCCCTAATCCAGATGACACTCAGGAGGCTTGGAACAGGGAGGTGAGTGTGAGGAGCAGGTCCTGCTTGTGTGGGAGTGAGCAGGTTGTGCTTCCTCAAGGGCGGTGCTAAGTGAGCATCACCTGGGGACTCACACACAAAGGAACCTGCTGGATAGCGTGCTCCTCAGTTCCATCTTTAGAGAGCCAAACCAGGCTCTAGGCTCAATGGACTGGACGCCACCAGCTGGAAGCGCTGTGTGGTCTCCCCATGTGGCCAGAGCTGGGCCAGAAAAGGCCAATAATGCCTCAAGTCCACTATCAGTTCTGAAATGGAGATGAGTTTTACCATGAAATTCAAAAGGAGAATTAGTGAGGGAGTGTATGAAATTTGCACAGCAGAGTCTGAAACCCAGTGGGACCAGAACAACTGTGAGCTCTCTCTGAAACACACAAGTGCAAAGATGAACAAATACATTTACTATTGTTGTTTACAATGGATAAGCTCTGGACCAGCCAATAGTAGGGACTTGGTCAACTAGATGTTGTCCATTCATATAATGGAACACAGTGGCAGCCACTGACCATCACAACATTGATTGACATGAAAAGTATTCACAGCTCCTTAAGGGAAAGAGCAAAATGATGGAATCCTCCAATCCCATTGGTGAAGGGACAGACACCAGAGCTCAATAGTGTGATCCCCTGGCCCTTCCTCCCTGCCTTGTGTCTTCTCTCTTCCTCCCTGGCCTCCGTGCAGGTGCTGATACTCATGTGTCTGATTCCAGGGGAGAAGTCTGAAGCTGGTATCCCCACCAGCTTAGGGGTGGTGAAAAGGGAGCTCCTCGTGGATGTGGTGGGACAATACTTCTATAAAGTCAACAACCACTTGGACCACCTGTACAAACCTCGGCCCATACAGGACATGCTTGGCTCTACAGCGGAGATGGTTGGTCAGGAGATGGAGGACAGTGATCTGAGCATGAACAGTGAGCACTTTGTCACCGATCTGAGATATGGCAAGGCCCGTAGCCGCCAGGTAAGGCCCTCACTGAGGGCTTCCTATCCCTTCTGGAGACATATTTGATGTAGGGGTAACAGGTCTGACTAGCCAGCAGAAAAATTACCATGAATGATGCAAACATAAGCTCTTGGGGTTCCACTGGCTGGGAGTTAGGTGTTGAGAGCAAAATTCAGTTTTGCTTCTAATCCTCTAGGGGACTTTGAACTGTGTACTTTCTCTCTGGCCTCGGTTTCCCCATGTGCAGAAGGAGGGGATGTTTAAGGGACCTCTGGGGCTACCCTTTAGGTTTCTTCGCCTCTAAAATCACTCTAAAAGCAGCTCCTGATGCCCTGTGTGCTGTCAGGGAAAGTCTGGCCAACCCTGCACCGTGACAGGTGTCCTAAGGCCTCAGAGAGCCCTCAGGAAAGAGATGCTCAAGGTCTGTGGCCTGTGTGAGAGCTCAAGGAAGTTCTTCTAAGATGCTGTGCAGATGAGTGTTCTTGGGCAAGTCTCCCTACGTCTCTGATCCTCATTCCCCATGTGAAGAAATGGGTATTCCCTCCTCTAACCAACACATTAATGTGAGATCTGGGCACAGCTTTAACCTCTTCCTCCTTGCCCTTTTACCAAAACAAGCTAGTAAGGATGCAATTCCCAGTGGTCCCTGCTCTTCCTGCTGAACCACAGCACCTCTTGGGCTAGAGGTCCAGTAACTGGGTCATGGGTGAACCTAGAAGGAG